CATCCAGAATAATGTTTGACTATCTGGGCAGCCATGGCCCCATCAGGTTGGTGCAGAAAATGAACCATCTCAGGCAGCTCTTGCTTGCTCCCTACCACACAGCCCAGTCCTGGGCTTGGGGTTATTTGTTTTGGTAGGTACAGAAATTAAACCAAGAGAAAAAGGAAAAACTGAAATCTCAGTTCCTAACTGTGACATTATTTTTTAAGTTTTATACCACTCTGGTACCCTTTCACCATGTTTTGTGCATGTTCTTTTTACTGGTCTCTGCCGAACTGTCTCCCATTCTTTACAGGAATTGCTCCAAATCTTCTCCCCTGTCACGGCGTCCCTTCCCAGAACTCCTGCCCCATTGCCGTCTGCTTAAGATCTGGCCACTTCACAGACAGGAGAGGATAGTTACCTGGCTAAGGTCACACACAGCGACTGAATGGTCAAACTGGGATTTCATTTGAAGCAAGTGATCTTGTTAGTCCTGGGCACCTGCTTGGTGCTGGGTGATAATCACGCCCTGACTTCCCTCTCCCCATTCCTCCCATTTCTGGGAAGGTGTGTCCCCTTCCAGCCAGCACGCCCTGCCCCTCCTGCAGGCACTGCTCTGCTCTGATCTCACCAGGGCCTGCCCCTCTGTGCACAGGTCTTTGGCACTTAGCTCAATTTTCTTCTCTTTCCTGTTTATTTCCCCCTTTACATTTGTATTAATATTATAGAAACATAGTTCTGTTTCTTTCACTCATTCAAAAACCCCCCTCCATTGACCCGGTGTCCCTCCTGAGCTACTACCTATCTCTCTTGTTCCTTTCACTCCACATTCCTTGTTCTTTTTAACCTCCAAAGAGGCCCTCAACTTGCATTGTGTGCCTTACCCCATTAATAATGGACTAGTACTATATAGGCTTAATCGTACATTGTACATAAGTGTTTTGTTGTCCATTAAGGTTCATTCCCCATGCATATAAATGCATGCATGTACATTACGCTAATTACAGTGCATAGTGCATTAAATTACAAGCTTACATAAAATGGATTCAACACATGGATATCATCCAGTACATTAATTCCCTTATTTTACATAGGACATAATATCATGAATTATAATGGCACATTAAGTTACATCAACCCTCAACACACACTTATCACCTCCAATAGGATTTCTTTACTACCAGCCTTTGAGAAACCCACAACCAGCTCAGGAAGTGTCCCTCTTCTCATTCCGGGCCCATAAAACTCTGGGGCTTCTTGGACTTGAAACTATACCTAGCATTTGCTTCTTACTTGAGGGCCACAGACTTAAAACTACTCATTTGTTCTCCCTAAGGCAGACATCTCAATGGACTAAGAACTAATCAGCCCATGATCACACATGACTGTGATGTCACACATTTGGTATTTTTTGATTTTGGGAGATGCTGTGATCCAGTGCGGCCATCAAGGCATTGCCTCAGTCAACTTGATTGAGCTTAAATTGAGAATTCTTTACTCACAGAAAAACCGTAAGGTACTAATTAATGCATGCTCAATGGACATAATAAAAACAAGATACAAACATATACATGTATACATACACCCAATTCTTCTCACCATGTATAATTAACTTTGCAAATCCCCCACCCCCACCTTAAGCTCTAATATCATCTGCATACGTCTTTTATTCTTGGCACCCCCCCAATAAGAAATCTTATATCTAGACTTCAAGCTAAGGCTCATACATGTACTCACATGTTATAATATTAAATCCAATTATAAGTTCATCTAGTTTTAGCCCAACTCTGAATAAAGCATTTTTCATAAATCCAAAAGTCCATTAAAACTTAGGCTTTCTCTGTAGAATCTATTCTAGAGTAAAAAAATAAAAAATTAGGCTTTCTAGGCTAAGATGGTTTTTTTTTCTTACTAAGATTGCCAAAAAAGCCCCCAATACTAACCTAGAGAATTTTCTAGGTATAAGTTGTAGCTTAATCCACTAAAGCAAGGCACTGAAAATAAATGCCTAGTGAGTTCATGTAACTCCATAAACACACAGGTGTGGTCCTGGCCTTCCTTTCTATAATATTGATTTGTATTAAGACTACACATGGCCAGCATCTGAATTCCAGTGACAATGCCCTCTCGCTCAGCAAAACATCAACAGGGGCTGGCATCAAGCACCCTGATTAGTAGTAGCTTATGTCTCGCTCAACTGCACTTCCACAGGAAACAGCAGCGATAAAAGTGAGTGATAAGCGAAAGTTTGGCTAAGCTATACTAGTTTTCCTTAGGGCCGGTAAATATTACGCTAGCCACCGCGGTCATACGATTAACCCAAATTAGTAAAACTGGCCATAAACCATATTTGCGTTAAGGATTACACACAAATAGAGCTAAACTTTAAGTCATAAAAAACTATAGTTAAAATAAAAATAAACTACAGAAGTGACTTTAATATGTTCTGAATACACATTAGATAAGACCCAAACTGGGATTAGATACCCCACTATGCTTAGCCGTAAATGTAAATAAGTAAATAAAGTTATTTGCCAGAATGGTCCTATTAGCAACAGCTTGAAACTCAAACGGCTTTATATCCCCTTAGAGGAGCCTGTTCTATAATCGATAAACCCCGTTAAACCTCACCCCCTCTTGCTAATATAACAAACTCTAAAAAGGTCTTTTAACTAAGCACAAGCACTTACATAAAAACATTAGCTCAAGGCATAGTTTATGAGATGGCAAGAAATTAGCTACATTTTCTAATTAAAGAATGTCCAGCTAGGAGTGATGGCTGGGAGTTTGAGGCCAGCCTGGACAAAGTAGCAAGACCATGTCTCTACAAAAAAAAAAAAAAAAATTAAAATTAAAATATTTTAGAACAGCGTTAGCAAGAGTGAGACCCTGTCTCTACTAAAAATAGAAAAATTAGCTGGGCATTGTGGCATGTGCCTATAGTCCCAGCTACTTGGGAGGCTGAGGCAGGAGGATCCATGCCACCCCTGTACTCTATCTAGGGCAACAGAGTGAGACTCTGTCTCGGAAAAAAAAATTAAAATAAAATAAAATATTTTAAAATGGTCAGGCCTGGTGGCTCATGCCTATAATCCCAGTACTTTGGGAGGCTGAGGTGGGAGGATCACTTGAGGCCAGGAGTTCAAGAATACCCAACCCACAATAACCCGTGTGAAACTAAGGGCAAAGGAGGATTTAGTGTTAAATTAAGACTAGACAGCTTAGTTGAATAGGGCCATGAAGCATGCACACACTGCCCATCACCCTCCTCAAATACTTCAATAAACCCAAATTTATAATCAATGCATCCACATCTGAGAGGGAGGTAAGTGTGTACTGGGAAGTGTGCTTGGACAAACCAAAGCGTAGCTTAATACAAAGCACCCGGCTTACACCCAGAAGATTTCATATTAATCTGACCACTTTGAACCAAAACTAGCCTAAAACTAACACAACTTGACAATTACATACATATTTAAACCAAAACATTTATTCACAGCAAAAAGTATAGGAGACGGAAATGTATTCAGCTGCTATAGAAAAACTACTGTAAGGAAAGATGAAAGAATAAAGTACAAACAAGTCAAAGCTTATTCCTTATGCCTTTTACACGATGAATTAACTGGAACAATTTTACAAAAAGAACTTTAGCTAAAAAGCCCCAAACCAGACAAGCTACTCATGGACAGTTACGAGAACAAACTTGTCTATGTGGCAAAATAATGAGAAGATGGTTGATTCGAGGTAAAAAGCCCATTGAGCCTGGCTATAGCTGGTTATGCAGGGGAGAATTTCAACTTTAAAGAATTTAAAGAAATATTTAATCCCAATGTAAATTTAAATGTTAATCTAAAGAGGGAAAGGTCTTTAGAAATAGGAAACAACCTTTTGTGGCGAGTAAACTATTAAATTCCCATAGTTGGCTTAAAAGTATCCACCAATTAAGAAAGTGTCCAAGCTCAACAATCAAAATATCTTAATTCTAGTGACTATGTAAACCTATATTTTACTGGGTTAATCTATTTATAAATAGAAGAGATACTGTCCATATAAGTAACAAGAAACAATTTTCTCTTTGCGTAGACTTGTATCAGATTAAATGGCCACTGATAGTTACCAACTAAAATTAAACCAATTAATTAATTGACTGTTTAATTAATTGACTGAATTCAACACAGATATTCACTTAAGGAAAGATTAAGCAAAGTAAAAGAATCTGGGCAAATACAAACCCCGCCTGTTTACCAAAAATATTATCTCTAAAATAACTTAGTATTAGAGTAGTATGTGGTTTGCCTAGTCACATATCTTCAGTATCTTGACCATGCAAAGGTAACATAATCATTTGTTCCCTAAATAGGGACGTGTATGAACAGCCACAAGATGGTTTAACTGTCTCTTACTTTCTCAATCAGTGAAACTGACCCTCCCATCCCTGTGAAGAGGCAGGGATATCAAAATAAGACAAGGAGACTCTAAGGAGCGTAAGTTAATTAGTCCACATTAAGCAACTTAAACTTAACTATTCAAAGGAATAACACTTAATCTACTGGACTAAAAATTTCCATTGGGGTGACCTCAGAGCACAATACAACCTCCAGATGATTAAACCCTTGATTAAACTAATCAAAGTAACATAATCATTCTTTTGACCCAAGCAATTTGATCAACAGAATAAGTTAGCCTAAGGATAACTCTATTTTAGAATTTGTATTGACAATAGGGTTTACAATCCCAAAAGTTGGATCAGGATATCCCAATGGTATAAATACTATTAATGATTCATTAGTTGTTCAACAACTAAAGTCCCACATGGCCTCTGTTCAGAACAGAGCAATCCAGGTCAGTTTCTATCTCATCAATACGATCCCAGTACAAAAGGACAAGAGAAATAGAGCCCACTTCCAAAAGCACCTTCAATTTTACTAGATGATATAATCTCAATCCAACATATTATTACACACTCGGTTCCAAAACGGGGCTTGTTAAGATGGCAGAGCCCAATAATTGTGTAAAACTTAAAACTTTAGCTTTGGAGGCTCAATTTCTCTTCTTAACAGCATGTTTACAGTTACTCTCTACTTATTTTCCCCTTCTATCCTTGCAATAGCATCCCTAATGTTAGCTGAATGAAAAGTATTAGGTTACATACAGTTTCACAAAGGACCTAATATCGTAGGCTGCCATGGCCTTCTTGAACCCTTCCCTGATGTGATGTGACCACTCACACCTTCCGTACTATCATCATATACCATTGCCCTTACCCTGGGCTTTGTACATGTGAATTCTACTGTTGATGTTGTATCCACTAATTAACACGAACATAGGGATGTTATGCATTTTAGCCACATAGAGCCTAACTATGTATGCTTTGATCAGGATGAGCATCAAATTGATAATATGCATTAATTGGTACACTAAAAGCAGTAGCACAAACGATTTCATATGAAGTTATCCTGGCCATTCTCCTACTATCAGTTCTCTTAATAAACAAATCATTTACATTAGCAACTTCAATTACTACCCAAGAATACATATGACTAATTTTTCCATCATGATCCTTAGCCATAATATGATTTATTTCAACATTAGCAGAAACTAATCAAGCCTAATTCAAATTGACAGAAGGTGAGTCAGAATTTATATCAGCCTTTAACGCTGAGTACACTGCAGGACGATTTGCCCTATGTTTCAAAGCAGAGAACAACATAATTGTAATAAATGCCCTAACCACTATTCTTCTGCTAGGAGCACACCATGATATTCAGATACCAGAAATTTACACAATCAACTTCATCAGTAAAGAAAGCTGCTCCTATCAGGTGCGGTGATAGCTTGCCAGCAGTCCCAGCTACTTGGGAGGCTGAGGCAGGAGGGTGGCTTGAGTTCAGGAGTTCCGGGTGTAGTGTGTTATGCCGATCAGGTGTCCACACTAAGTTCAGCATCAGTATGGTCTCCTCTTGGGAGCAGGGGACCACCAGGTTGCCTAAGGAGGGGTGAACCGGCCCAGGTTGGAAACAGAGCAGGCCAAAATTCCCGCACTGATCAGCAGTGGGGTCGGGGCTGTGAATAGCCCCCGCACTCCAGCCCCGGCCACACAGCGAGACCTCTATTTCTATAACAGTAAATCAATAAAAACAAAGAAAAAAGAAAAAATGCTTTTCCTATCTTATTCTTATGAATAAGGATCATACCCACTCATGATTCTGATATGATCCACTCATGCTCCTAATATGAAGTTTCTTTACCACTCTTTACCACCTTATGCTCATGACACATCCATACCTATTTTACGATCACATATTCCATCAGAAACATAATGTTTCTGATAAAAGAATTACTTTGATAGAGTAAATAATAGAGGTTTAAACCCTCTTGTTTCTAGAGTAATAGGCATTGAACCTATTCTTAAGAATTTAAAAAAATCTCTGCACTACCTAATTCACCATTTTCTATAGTAAGGTCAGCTAAAAAAAACTGTCAGGCCCATACCGCAAAAATATTGGTTTATATTCTTCCCATACTAATTAGTTCCCTAAATTTTCCACCATTCTACCTACCCTCTTCATAGGAAACATAATCACCATATTTATCTCACACTGACTAATAATCTGAATGGGGTTAGAAATAAATGTATTAGCCCTTATGCCCATTTTGATTAAAAAAGCAAATCCATGATCCACAGAAATATTAATAGCTCACAAATATTCTTAACACAAGCAACCACACCTATACTCCTAATAATAGCCATCATCATTAACATATCAGACTCTGGGCAATGAACAATCATAAAAATGCCCAGCTAAACAGCATCCCTTGTAGTTATCATAGCACTGATTACAGAACTTGGACTCTTCCCCAGTCCATTTCTGAATCCCAGAAGTAACACAAAGAATTTCACTTATATCAGGGAAGATCCTATCGACATGATGAAAACTGGGACCAAGTTTAATTATATTTCTGGTATCATCATCAATTTATCTAAATATAATATAAATAAACACCATATTATCTATTCTAATAAGAGGATGAGGAGGGCTTAATCAAACACAGCTATGAAATGCCCTAGTCATCAATTGCACATGTAGGCTAAATAATAGCTATCCTCATTTGTAATCTCCCCACAATAATCTTAAATTTACTAATTTATATCATTCTGGCAATTACCATATTTATAATATTTAGTTTAAAAATAAATACCACAACACTATCACTATCACACACATGAAATAAATTACCACTAATAACTTCTACAATCTTTATAACCCTATTATTCTTAGGAGACTTACCCTTACTTACAGGATTTCTATCCAAATGAATTATCATTCAATAATTTTTTTAAAAAGCAGCATTATTGTGCCAACATTTATAGGTAGTATAGTATTATTCAACTTATATTTTTATATATGATTAATCTACATCATTAACTATATTTCTAACAACTAATGACACAAAAACAAAATGACAAATTGAAAATATAAAACAAACATCCTTTTTCTACCATTGCTTGGTGTACTGTCAACGTTTTCCCTCCCACTTTCATCAATATTCTCAACATTGGACTAGGAATTTAAATTATAATAATAGATAGACCAAGAACCTTTAAAGCCCTAAGCTAGTACCCTATTCTTTTCTTTTCTTTTTTGGAGACAGGGTCTCATTCTGTCACCCAGGCTGGAGTAGTGTCATCACAGTTACTGTAACCTCAAACTCCTGGGCCCAAGCAATCCTCCTGCCTCAGCCTCCCGAGTAGCTGGGACTACAGGCAAGCGCCACCGTGTCTGACTAATTTTTCTATCTTTTTGCAGATGGGGTCTTGCTCTTGCCCAGGCTAAGTACCCTATTCTTTTATTATTATTATTATTATTTTTTGAGACAGAGTCTCACTCTGTTGCCCAGGCTAGAGTGCCATGGCATCAGTCTAGCTCACAGCAACCCCAAACTCCTGGGCTCAAGCAATCCTTCTGCCTCAGCCTCCCGAGTAGCTGGGACTACAGGCATGTGCCACCATGCCCGGCTAATTTTTTCGACATATTTTTAGTTGGCCAATTAATTTCTTTCTATTTTTAGTAGAGACAGGGTCTTGCTCTTGATCAGGCTGGTCTTGAACTCCTAAGCTTAAACGATCCTCCCGCCTCGGCCTCCCAGAGTGCTAGGATTACAGGCATGAGCCACCGCCCCCGGCCCCTATTCTTAATTTCTGAAAAATAAGGATTGCAAGACTCTATCATGCATTAACTGAATGCAAATAAAGCTCTTTAATTAAGTGAAACCCATCCATCCTTACTAGATGGGTGAGATCTAGCCCCACAGAAATTCAGTGAACAGATAAATACATCAATCAACTGGCTTCAATTTACTTCTGCCCACTGAGGAGAAAAACACAGAAGCCCAGGCAGAATTGAACAACGTGAATATTCACCTCAAGGCTGGGTAAAAAGAAGGTTCGACCTCTGTCTTTTTTTTTTTTTTTTTTTTCTTTTGAGACAGGGAGTTCGTTCCCACTCTGTTGAGGCTAGAGGTGAGGCCATCGGGGTATCAGGGCCCTAGGCAACAGCAAACCTTCAACTCCCTGGCTCCAAGCGATCCTTTCTGGCCCTTCAGCACCTCCCAAGTAGGCTGGGGGAAACAACAGGCATGCCCACATAGCGGCTATATATTTATATAGTTTAGTTATTCAGCTAATTTTTTTTATTTTTAGTAGAGATGGGGCCTTGGCTCTTGTTCAGGTGGCTCAAACGTGATGAGCTCAAACGATCCACCTGCTCAGCCTCCCAGAGTGTGCTAGGTTACAGGGTGGAAGCACCATGCCTGTGCTGCCCTAGTCTTTTAACCCAAGCAAGAATTGAGACACCTGGTACCCATTAGGTGATAATCAAAGTTGTGTAAAGTCATTGTCCTGCCCCATGCATTTGTAACTGTATACTTTTTGATAATTAGCCTGTTTATCATCATAGGATTCAAATAGAGTGTGTGTCGTCCTTAATAATCAAAAGCTCCCAGTATAGCATTTCCCTGGGAATACAATACAAGTTCCTGACTCCCCACCCATAATTTCCGCTCCTGCTTGTTCTCAGTAGGTTGGAAATGGCGCTGCACAGCGGATGACCAGTTTACCACCGTTAAGCTGAAAATCTCACACATGCAGGAGGTTTTGTAGAATCTTTCCAGCTTTCTATTTACACCTAGCAAGTGTTCATCGTCTTAGTGCTCTTACCTGTATTACGACCAGATTATTAACATGAAACCACTGGCTAGGTCCCAATCAGTACACCACCTTGGCTTACGTATCCTAAGGGGCGCGAGCATTACCAATGCTAATAGACTGAGGAACCCTAATACCAATTTTTGGACTCAGCTGGGAGAAGGAGATCCAGATCTTATCATCAGATCCATTCTAATTTTTTGGCCACCCCAAAAGCCTTTATAGTATTCTTACTTTACTAGGCTTTAAAATAATCCCACAATCTTATTCTGGGAACAAAGACCATTTGGTTATATAGGAATGATGTGAGCTAGCAATGATCCATTGGTTTCCTAGGTCTTTATCTGTATGAGCTCCGTATATTACATGAGGAAAGATGTTGGACACCTGGCATGTTTTGCATCAAGCGACTGTAATCATTGTTATTCGCACCACAGTTGAGGTTTAGCTGACTGACTTCCAAACCCTGTCTGAAGGAACTCATTAAAGGGATCTCTAGCAACATTATGAGCTGTTTATTTACAGTTAGAGGCCTAACAGAATTGTATTAGCTAACTCAGTCTCACAACACAAATGGTAGACGTTTCCACTATGCTTTATTCATGAGAGCGGTCTTGGTTCTTACATGATCCTACACAGACACCTAATGGTAATAAACTGGGGAGAACTTAGCAAGACCTGCTCAGATTAATTTTTTTGTCCCTTTGTCTTCAGGGATTAGGATGTTCCTTTCCTCTGGGTTTAGGAAGGCACCTCTTACATGAGGGTCTTATGAGCTACTTCAAGAAGAGTCAGGAAAGTCTCCTCAGGTTTCATGATACGTACGTATATGGGGAAGGTAGAGGAAGATAAGAGTGACCTTCCTGGCTTCCACTGTTCCAAGTGCCAAAGGGTGCCATATTTTGGGGTAGTGTATCCTGAACCTCATGAACGATATTAATATAAAACATAGACCGGAACTTCATCTCTCTATAGAGACTATGTGCATGTAAATGCCCCAGGGAAGGGCGGTAGAAAGCAGCCTCAGCTGGGAAGAGGCCCACTCCCAGGGTGGAGCGAGAGTGGTCCGCCAAGCAGACCTTCACTTTGGCTGCACTGTGTGCATTTTCTACAGTGAGACGATATTCAGCTGCAGTATTATTCTCTTAATTAAAACAGTTTTTTTTTTCTTAAGTAAAGAAGAAGAATAAATTCCACAAAAGACCGCTATTATAGTCTATAACATGGTAATTAATTTTTTTCCCTAGCATGATTTTATAACTGACTATAACATATTCTTTGTGTTAATATCATTAATTAATAATACCATTTATCAAGTGTTTTCCAAGCTGCTGACTAAGATTTATTCGGGGGGTTGTTGAAGCCAGTGTAGGGGATTCCATCAGGACTTTCTTCATTAAGAAAAGGAAGAAGAGGAAGGAAGGAAGGAAGGAAGGAGGAGGAGGGAGGGAGAGGAGGCATAGATCAGTAAGAAGACAGCGAAGTGAATGAATAGGATAACGTATAATAAAAGCATCAGTGTGCTACACAAGTTCATAGGCAAATGTTGTTTGAGAAAGCTTATGATGCAAATAATGTATTTCTTTTTTTTTTTTTTTTTGAGGACAGAGTCTCGCTTTGTTGTCCAGGCTAGAGTGAGTGCCGTGCGTCAGCCTAGCTCACAGCAACCTCAAACTCCTGGGCTCCAGTGATCCTTCTGCCTCAGCCTCCCGAGTAGCTGGACTACAGCATGCGCCACCACTGCCGGCTAATTTTATATATATATCAGTTGGCCAATTAATCTCTTTGTATTATAGTAGAGACGGGGTCTCGCTCTTGCTCAGGCTGGTTTTGAACTCCTGACCTTGAGCAATCCGCCCGCCTCGGCCTCCCAAGAGCTAGGATTACAGGCGTGAGCCACAGCGCCCGGCCGCAAAATGTATTTCTTGCTATGGGTTGTGGCACAAAACATTTGAAAATCATTGACTTAACCTGCTTTCTTCTTGACTTTGTGAGGTGGCTACACAAGAGCAAATTGTTTTTTTTTGTGTATTTGCATTATCTTGAATAATTAAACACTGATTTAAAAAACAAGCACTGCAGGTTTATTCTTGCTGATTCTTGCCCTTTTCTCATTAACCTCAACTTTGAAAAGCAGAACCAAAAGCGATTGTAAATGTTGATGTATGAACTTGTCTTACCCAGGCTCCTTAGCAAAGTCAAAGAATCTTTCGAAGTGAGGCATTCAAGAAGCTTCTCCTGGTTGTAAAGTGCACCATTCTTTCGTAACTTAGTGAGGAAACTAGCCTGCAACTAGGTAACCACTTGAGAATTTCTTTTAGCCGCGATTTCCTTTTGCAGAATATCAAAAAGATACATTTAGAAGCATGGGTATTTCAGATTTGCCAATAAAAGATCCAGAAGTAAGTCATGTTATTTAGATGGAGAAATGTAAAAGGTGAATTTTCTGAAGTCGTGCTGCCTAGAATAGGCAGACAGCTCATCTTTGTTGTGCAATGATAGAGTTATCCATGTGAATCTAGTAAATTGTATTAATTACAGAGAATGTGTTTAATAAGAGAGATTTCTGAGAAGAACACATGACATACATTTAAACATGGGAACTTCGCTTTCTTTTCTTCTTTCCCCATCCCAACCAGCTCACCTTACCCAGCCTCCCTTGGCGCGGGCGCTGCGTTAGTCTAGTCGTTAGTCGAAGTGTCTGCAGCAGTGCAGGACTCTTAATTATAGGGCTTGGAGAAGCCCGTGGGAGACAGTGAACAAGGCACTAAGGAAATCTCACTTCTGCTGTCTGAGAAGCTGTGAAAGAAAAAAAAAGGAAAAAAGAAAATCTCGCTTCAATATGTCTAAAGCCAAATTAGTTTAATTATCTGCCATTTCTTTTTCCCACAAAAGAGAACAGTTTAAATGATTCATACTCCCACACAACTAGGTTATTTTTATAATACATTTTATTATGTATGTATACAGTGTTGTATATATACATACAGTGTGTGAGTATATATATAGTGTAGTTGTAATTTTTTATGTCATATTTGGCATTCTGTTTTCACTTATCTAGTGCGATCTTATTTAGTGAGTTTAATTATCCACTCTTCATTTTACTGCAAGTGTTTGGACTGTTTCCTTTTAATAGAAAGGAAATGGCACCAGATATAGATGATCATGTTATTCAAATCCATCTTTACTTATAGAAGCAGTGCTCCTGCTGTTTGGCTCTAAGAAACAGTGAGTCTTAGAAAAACAACAACCAGTCTTGCCTTATTTACTACTGAGCTAAATCCTACCTACTGGTGTTCTCAGAATCGAGTTCTACTTCCAATCCATATTTTTCCTTGGGATATTCTACTTAGACTGGTGATGAGGAAAACATTGAAATCTGAATCACACTTTGCATGGTGCTTTGCTAGTGATCATTCTGGTGGCGGGACCTGGAGTGGCTAAGAGCCTTCAATATTCCAGGACTATTGTTTGCTTGTATAGAGGCAGCTGGGGAATGCCTCACTCTTTGGCTTGAAGGGGTATCAAGGAGTTAAATCCAGATCAAATTCTCTGGTTAGCCTTGTCTGAGTACAGGTGTGGGACATTTCCCTCCCCAATGCCATCACCTTGATAGGTGCTTAGGGACCTCTTCTTGTCCAAGAGGCTTTATGCATGTCGGGATGTTAAAAGATAAGGGACTCAGTCTTGGGTATACTCAAGTGCCACTCTTGGAGGCTGGCTAATGGATGACAGACGCCCTAGCGTCAGAGAGCTTGTGGCATAAACTCTTGGTTTTCTATTCAACAGAGCAGTCCATATTCCTTTTCCCTTCATCCCTGTTGGTAGAGCTCACTTCCCACCATAGAGACCGAATATGCCAGATATTTCTGGCCTCCACTGCAGCTGGGGAGGGCATGTAACTCAGTTTTAACCAGTGGTATGTAAAAGGAAGTCTGATGATAGCTTCTAGGAAAGATTTTCCTCCTTGCTAAAAAGAAAGATGCACAAAAATAGCACTTCTTGCCTGCCTCCTGTGTTTCTGTCTTTGGATGCAGTTATAGGAGGATGTGACGCTTGGAGCTGTGGCAGCCATCTTGCATACATGAGGTGACAAACCTAAGAGAAAGTTCAACGCTCTAGATAGCAGAAGCTAGAGCCTGGGTCCTTGATGACAGTAAGCTGCCAAACCAACCTTAAGACTTCTTTCTTAAGACTTCATATGAGATAATTGTCTCTGTTGTTTAACTATATTTAGACAGATGTGTTACTTACAGCCACATGTCATAACAAGAAGTCAGTGGGAAAGACCTCCCTTTCCACCCCACATTTCTGTTGCCCTCCTGGTCTCTGGTCTCTATCTCCAAAAGGCTGGGAAATCTTTTTCTTGTCTGATGGTATAAAAATCTGGCCTATAGTCATCACAATTTTTCTGTTTTTTCAGGGCCTAGGCGTTTGAAACTAAAAATAGAGCCCTCTTTTTCCCTACTATAGCATTTTTCAATTTACAAAATAGTATAGATCCTTAAATGGGGGGAAAAGCCCAGAGGATGTGCATACGCTGTGGTTGGGTGGTTGGGTGGGGCACGGTGATGGT